GTTAGATTCGTAGGAATATAAATGACACCACTTAAAAATGGATAATCAAATTCCTTTAGATACATACCGTCATCGCCACAGTCCAGACAGCAGTTGACATTTTTTCTTCCTTACTTGTACCATTGAATGATTCTAGAAGGGTTTCCATTTCTTTAACAATCAGTGAAGCCAGTTTGGTGGAATCAGAAAAGACTACGGATACGGCGATTATCTCTACGACAAGTATAACAATCAGGATAAAAGCATACTAAAAAGAAAAAAGAGGAAAACCATCGACATTAATTTGATGAGATCATTCGAGTCTAGTCCGCCTCATTAATTTCTACTTACTATCTTCAGTAGTATATTGCACCCACAACACGAAGCAATGCACCCTATGAAGCAGAGAGTTGCCAGCCCCAGTCCAACCACGACGAGGGTTATAGCGATGCCATCTGTAGCAGATAAGTCATTGTCGGATTATGCCATTTCAAAAGCACTTGTGTATGTCAAAGTGGCATGGCTTGATTTATGATATCACCTACCTGCGTTTTCAGTGACGAATCTTGCCAACTGGCGTAAATCTTCATCACCGATATTAAATTGATCGAAAATCTTTGACAACAGCTGTTGTACTATAGATTTGGAGGATTTCAGTAGAATTCCAAACACTGCGACGGCCAGGAAGGCCACCTGAAATGAACAAGAAATTGAGTGCTGCTTCGGCAAGAAATGGTGAGGACTATCGCATGCCTATCACATCACTTACACAGAGGACGGTATTGAGGACTTGAAGAATGAGCTTCAAGCCACAGGAAATAACGCAGCCCATGCTGAAGAGGGAGAGGTAAGAGGATAGGATTGTGTAAAAGAAGAGTAAGAAAATCCCATTATTATTTAGATAAGAGCGGAATAGGCAAAGAACTCACCTTCGTTAATTTACAGAATCAGCCTACGAAATATGAAGTGGAGGCAGACGAGGGTTTAATTTAAATTCAGCTCAACCTCATCTCTGGCCAATGTTATTCGCTTTCCCACGGTGATTGTGCACATTATTGGCCCTGAACAGGCTAATCAGAGTAGAGAAAAAGATATTTGAAAATGCCATTGGCTTATTGCCTGACTGACATCAATTTGCCAGCTCAATCCCTGCATGCCATATGGAGCACGTTTGCGTGGGTTTGATGACCTGGCAAGTATGTGATTATATCACATGGTCCTCAGTCACTGAATTTTGCACAATCTTTATTTTGTGTCATCGGTAGACAAGTCTCTTTGGTTTGCTCAGTGTACTTTGCTACCAAAGCTATCAAACCTTCTCTTTTCGCTTGCATTCGCTGAAAATATGCGAAGTAGCATTTGAAAGGCATTTTGTCGCAAGTATGACCGATGGAATTTGGGAAAGGGCAAGATTTTGAAGTGTTATGTGCAAGGTTGGGTACGCGCTCTGTAGGAGATGCATACGGATATACCTTTTTTGTACACGAACAGAATGCGGGCACGTAGGTGTCTGTCGTTTTGTGAACAGTATCGCCAATTAAGTTAACTACTGACGAAAACTTTTTCATGCCATTCCATATAGGAACACCTGGTCGATGGGGAGAATTAGGGCCAGAGCAAATTACTTTCTATTAGTTTGGCCACCTATCACCTATTCAACCATTTATCCACCCATTCAGCCACCCGTTTTATTTCTCAGCTGCAAACTGGTGCCCACCTCTGCACGTGGAGTTGAATCCTGTCAATTTTGCCTAGCTGATAAATGGAGTAATCCAGGGAGAGCTCTCTAATCTACTTGGCAACATGTGCTGCGCGTGCATGCATTACAATTGAAAGTTAGTATTTGGCCAGCCTTGAAATTATTAGCAGACTGAACTGGAACTGGATTAGAGCTGGACCTCGCAGACAATGTGAAAGTACACATAGGAGTGTAGGATACTCAGAAATAGTATTAGCACCAATTGCTGGGGATGCTCTTATCCCTACTTCCTCCTCTTACAGAAGAATAATCCGTGGATACGTTATCTAGTACCAACATTGATTTGGTGCTCACTGCCCTTTCGGCTACACGAATGAGCTCTGTATGCATAAGATAGCCAGTCCTAGATTTTCTTTCATTTTATTCTGTGAAACAGTCTGCAGTTAGGAGTGGCATTACGAATGTGATTAGCAGCAGGTAAAGTGAAACGTAGAGCTGCTGATTTATAGCTTCATAGCAGACGTATTTGGTTGCGGTGCCTCACCTACGTGTCCTTTCCGGACTTGATGACGGACGGCTTTGCCACGTTTGTACAAACTTCCCCTCCGAAGAACCTATCACGTGTGAATCGTGGACTTCGATGTCAATATCCATCTGGAATTCTAAGGGGAGTTTCGATACACTTTCTACTGAGGCATTTTAGGCCATTTGTCCATGCCTATTGTGAACAAACTGAGCTGGCTTGGCATTAGTAACTCGACCATTGCTTGGTACTCTGTCACGCATTCATTCGGTAGCATCAACAGTCGCCTCCTTCACTCGTCACTTCATTTCTGCTCTTTTAAATAGCTTAACTAGCTTCCACGCTTTATTTGTAAAGGCAAATGAGTTTGATGGCTCTTTGACAACAGGATTCATGGTACGTGGGCACAGTGAACTGCACCCGTCACTGTGAAGTATAAGCAAAATATAATCACCGTCTTTAGAAGCCCATGTTGGCTGACGATACGGCTCAGCACTTGTAATTCTACAGTGGAAGTAGAAAAGATAATGGGAGTCATCTCTGACAGCTTTGAAAGACATCCACCAAGGATACAGAACACTGTAGTTGTAGGGAGGGCTTCAGTTATCCATCATCAACACTAGTGACCACTCTCCTGCTCAATTTACCAGTGAATAATGTTGTACGGATTATACGATCGCTTAAACCTTAAATTAAACGCGTTGCATTCCTCTCAATTCATGGTGGAAAGCCACTATCTCATGAGCAGTGTCATCTGCTGGGTGGTGTGGCAGATTGAGGTGGCTCAAAGGAGCCATTTAGAACCACTGGACTGTGTTAAAAACTCCATCAGCCTCATCTGTAAACTAAGTAAATGGATGGATGGAACTTTGAAGTTTAAAGTATGCACGATTTAATTACTGCATTACCCACAGCGTAAACTGGTGAATCTGTGCTAAAGATCGGATCATATGGCGCCTACGAGTAGAGCATTCAGTAGACAAGTAGCTAATGCGTATGTTATTCTTGGCCGATGAGTGTGAGATGGCAGATTTGGACTCCGTGCTAGCTGAATCAGGAGCAAAGACGGCTGTATAAGGTGTATTTTCCCAAGTACAGTCTCTCTGTTGGCACAATCAGTCGGTCAGAAGTGGTATTGCAAGACAGGCGGCAACTTCGTCAACACGCGTCCATTCTGTATCCACCTCGTACACATACATCTATTCTTTTATTCACCACCTCACTCATCCATATATCCAGAATCCTTTATTATTATTCTATTCCCAAGCCTTTACCCCGTATCCAACTCTCCATTGTCTACCTATCCATTCATATACCAAATCACCAAACCATTCATTCATCCGCCTCCATATTATCTGTGCACCCATACATCTACGTGTCCATGTATCCACCAATATTTTATCCCGATATGTGAACTTTCCTTGTAATCCTCTGCCAAACATCTTGCAAATGTCATTACCAGCTACATTTATTTTGTCGATTTAACGCTGTAAACGTCCATCCTACTATTTTATATTTCTCCAATTTCGATTGAAACTTCACAATGGCACCCTATCTACGGAATATAGGGTTCCCTTATTTTGAGACTATAGCTGCTCTCAGAGGCAGGTGTTTAACTCACAGTTGATAGATTCGGCTAAACGCATCAGAACGAATTGCACAATTCCCTGAAATTAACCAAATGAAATGATACCTACCCACTGGATATATCTCACCTATCCAGTCATCAGTGGTGGCAGTCAGCGTTTGCACACACTCTGAGGCGATTTGAAGGGTCACCGACCATTGTCAATAGGCAAGATGAGTCGTCACGTGAAATGTTAAAGTGTGTGGAAATGGCTTCCAAAAGACGGGTTTTTGTGGGTCTTTCTTTGGAGGGAGGGGACCATTCATCGATATTTACTAACCTCCAGCGCAAATACTCTTAGCGTACCTGACATACCAACATCACCCTTCAATACACCTCATCATAGACGCCAAACTGATTTCAGTAGAAAAAACTCACTTTACAGTTTACGGATCATATCGAGCTAATAAGTAGAGCAAACGGTAGACAAGTTCTCGACGCATATGCCATTCGTTTCGCCGTGTATGAGAATGCAGGGCTGCGCAGCGTGTGCGTATGTGATAGCTAGCTGAGTTGGCGGCGAAGAAGGCAGGCAAAGGAAGTTTAATTCCATGGTAGAGTATTGGGCCACATAAGAATCAGTTCCCCAAGTACGACCTCACTGTCGGCATAATCAGTCGTTCAAAAGTGGCAGGGAATGATAGGGTGCATCTTCGTTGCCACGCATTCAGCTCGTGATCACCCATCCATTTATCCATCCACCCATTCCACTCATCCATCTACATTTTCACCCTTCCAGGATCCATCCATTTATGCATCCATCCACTTCTTTGTCATCTCTGCACCCATACTGCTCTTCGACCATGTACCCGACTGTCATTCATTTTATCATTTGTGCCTTTTTTGTTCCTCTTCCCCACGCCGTGCAGTCATTATACCCAGCTACATTTACTTTGTCGTTTCTATGCTGCAGTGGTTGACCTCTTTAGTTCCTACTTCTTCTAATCCGAAAAACTTTCAAACAAAAGTTAATCAGGAATATTCGAAATTCTTATTTTTGAGACTAAAGCTACTTTCAGATAGAGGCTGTTAACTCACATTTAAAGCTGGCAAATTTGACTATGCTTAAGCAAAAAGAAATGCACAAGTCCATACAATTAACCAAAAGGCTAATCTCACTTTTCAATCTGCAGCACGTTCGCGTGGGTTGGTTGACCTAGTAACCTGCATTTATATCACATTGTGCTTATTCACAGAATTTTGCACGATATGTGCTTCGTGTCGTTGGTAGGTAAATCTCTTTGATTTGCTCAGTGTGCTTTGCTGTTAAATCAATCAAATCTTACCATTCTGCTTACAGTCGTTGAAAATATACGAAGTAGCATTTGAAAGGTATTTCATCACAAATTTGACAGATGCAATTTCTTGCCTGTCTTCATCCTTAACACACGATACAGTGATTAGAAATGAGTAAATCCTGGAGGTGTTACACTGAAGGTGCAGCACCACTACTAGATGGCGGATACACGCCCTGTAGGAAATGCGCACTATGGTGTTTTGTATTCATAAAGACAGAATACAGTCCCGAAGATGTTTCTCGCTTCGTGAACAAAGCCACCAAATACCAATGTTTACAGTCCCAGTTGGCTCACCGTATGAGGCAAACAGGTCCCACAATCTGAAGTAGTCGGTAGGTAATCCTCCCCAAAATTGGCATAATACTGGAACACGGATTGAATATACGACAATTGCAGCAGTCAGAATAGCGGCATATTGGTAGAAAAAGATTGAAAACCACCGTCATTTATTTGCTGTGTTCATTTGTTACCAAATCACATCTCCATATTCTACTCGCTAACTTTAGTAGTATTTTGCTTTTGCAGAACAAATCAATGCACAACAAGGACAGAAAATGGGAGTGTAAATCCCATTACATTAATGACTGCAGTGTGGGAACACTAATAGCATAGGCTCGAGGTTAGTTAGCGCTGCCACTAAATTAAACCTCACCTCACTTCAAAATCAGTTTACGAGCTAATCAAG